ACAATTTTTAACTTAAAAAAATATAGTTCAAATAAAATTAGTATCTATCTATTTTTATTATAAATATATTCACCAAATATATTTAAAAGTAAAAAAAAATGTAAATATCATATTATATGTATATATAAGTTTTATATACGGATCGAATCGGATATTCAGATTTTTAAAACTAGTATTTGTGATTTGTTTTGATTTGATTCAAAACGGATATTCGGATTTTTTGGATCGGATCGAATTTAACGGATAATTTGCCTAGTCCTAATCAAAAATCATGGATTCTAATATTTATATATCATAAGTGAAAGAATAAAATATTCTATATTCAATAAAAGCTAGACTAGAGGTTCATATAACATGGTACATGTAAGTTATGAAATCGCCACGAATGTATAATTATTTTACTATCATATAACATGCATGATACAAGATGATAATGATTGATTGAAACTCATAATTTATTTAGTGTATATGCCAAAAGTAAAAGTAAAATTTACCGATCCAAGCCAACAAAAAAAATCTCGTGGCTTTGTGGAGATTTAGGTGTCAGTGTAGGTCCCGACATTGTGGCAGAAGGTAATGATGAAACCAATTTTTAAAAAAATTTCCAATACCAAAAACAGGCTTCGTCTTCCTCTTTCCTCTCTCCTACGAAAAATTTCTCTCATTTTTTTTTTTTTTTGTTGGACGAAAAATCCAAAGATGAATCTTCTTCTTGATGATGATAATGACGAAAGCGAGTCATGGAGGATTAACCCAACTCGGAAACGAGGTGAGTCAGTGACCGAGTTAGAACATCATAGCTGAGCTTCTGATACAACTACAGAGGAAGATCTTGCTTTTTGTGTGATTATGCTCTCTAGAGACAAATTGAAGCAACACAAGAAGATGAAGATAAAGATAAAGCAAACTTTCGAAGAAGATGAAACAGAGCATGAATGTTGTGAAGATTACAAATCGAGTAAGAACAGAGGAAGATTCAAGTTTGGTGAAGTGTTGATATCTTATCAAGCATTAGCATAAAAAGAAGAAGATTTTCACAACGAAAAACAGAGCAAGTGAAAACAGAGTACGGTAATGGAGTTACAGAGAAGAGAATTCATCTCATGGAAGAGGATTGATGTCTGTAAATAATCGAAACGATAAAGAAGAACAAGTAAGTATCATTGAAACAGGGGATGGTAAATCTTAATCTACCTGCAACTAATGAAGATGATGAAACCTCTTCTTAGGTGTTTGATAAATGGTGAAAACGACTTTGTTTAGTCATTGCCTGGTTAAAATAACAATTACAAAACATTTCACATGATCACCTTCAACCTTTGTTTGGATAATGTAAACTATTTTCAGAGCTTGACCAAAGTTTTTTACTTGTATGGTTAGTGCCTCCATAACCAAATTTCAAAGATGCTCTCTGGAGGAAAGCGAGTCCATTTATATACTCTTCCGCGCGTGTGAGCTTCAGGTGATTACGTGGCTTCTTCCTGTCCAATGGTTTGATACACCCACAATATCTTTTGTTTTGGTCAGAATTACGTGGCTCTCGCTCAGACATTTCGACTCTCCACCATGGCCGTTGATTGAGATCAATAGTTACCGTTGGGTTTTTGTTAAGAGATACGAATGCGTCACTTTTTTTACGCCTAGTCCTCACAATTTTTCGACTTTCTTATTGTTCTCTTCTTTTTTTAATGCTCTGTGTTCTGAGATTATATACCACTAGTTTTTCTCAAGTGTTTCTTACAATTGATTATCCATGCAATCAATTTCTTATCTTTGCATGGTCTAATTATTACTACCATGCAAAGGTTATAGCATAAAAGATTACACATTCCACTGTATTTTGAATCTGTTTCATTAATTTATTATTTTGTTTAGCAAATTTTAGAGCTCGTATTGAAAGTTAAAAACTGCTCAAATATTTCTAGCTTTTGCAAAGTTTAATTATAAATCGAAAGAAACATATCAAAGTAAAATTGTTTTTCTTTCATAAACTTAGCTCTATCAAATCAAAATTTCGTCTGATCCCCAAAAACTCAAAACACTTAACAATTACTGATG